TTGTAACAGTTCTGCGAGCAGCCACAGTGCTCACCTTACACGGCGGACGCGCGCTGGTAAATAATAAATCACAGCGGCCGGCGGGCGGCGGCGGCGCGGGCAGCCCGCGCGTTTGACTGCAAAGCAGCGGCGCATCAATTATTCACCGCGCCAGATAAAACGCGGCGGCGGCCGGCGAGCCAGGTGCCCGCGCCCAAAGCGGCCTTTTGATGGCCGCGGGCCGGGCCGGGCGGCGGCGGGGCTGGGGGCGCGCAGAGCGCTGCGGGATCGGGGCCGTGCGCTCCCGTGGCGCGCTTTGCACAGTCCCGGCCTGGGAGCAATTACAGCCAGGCCGCGGGGTTGGGGAGAAGAGATGCGTGTGCGCGTGCGCGTGCCCAGGCGCGCCTCCAGTGCCCTTGGTGATGAAGTGCGCGAGCTTGGGAGTGACTCGCCCAGGCGTTTGTGCGTGCCTGCCAGTGGTGAGAGCCTGTCAGTTACACAAGCACACCCGGTGGGGTGGGTTGCGTTTTCTGGTGTCCGATAGTGTCCTCGTGCCTATGAACTCTAGTATCAACTTGGCGTGTGTACACATGAGCTGTGTCCATCCATATGTCTATGGGAGATGTGTGTGCTAGGGTACAAATGAATATGACTGGTTGCTCTCACATTCTCCTGTGCATTACTCTACAGGGCATTTGTTCATGTATGGCCAGAGCGTGGGTGTGGGCATGGTCACACATGTATGTACCTGTGAGCTCATATGTGGTACGTATGTGGACAGCAAATATGCAGTTTTATCTGCAGATATGCATGTAGACACACTCAGAGTACATGTTTGCATACAGATGATGTATTTATGCATACACATAAATATATACAGAGCGTGTGTGTGTGTGTGTGTGTGTGTGTGTGTGTGTGTAGTGGACACATACAGGCCATAAATGTCCAAATGTGGTATGCATGTGAATAGATGTGGTTATGCATATGTGTGTGCACAGTCATGCACGTGTAGGCATGCATCCACGACTCTGAGTTTTGAACACCATGGTTATGCATATGCATGCTTGGGTAATTATGCATGCATGTGCATGGGGATAAACAAAGGAAGGGATTGGAATGATTAAAACTCTGAGAGGTAGAGCCTCTAGGCCCAGGGCTCAGAGCTCTGCACAAGGGTCTCCAGTGGGCTTGCTCCATGAGTCAGGGAACGCTAGTGCTGGGAGAGCACTGTAGCTGGAGTGTGTGGTTCTGGGAGAGAACAGGAGAACTGGGAAATCTGCGAACTGGGTCCAAGGGGAGGAGCATTGCTGACATTCAGTTTCTATGTGAGTTGGACTGCAAGGGTGGACAGGCAACCAAGGGACACACGCTTTACCTTTTGCAGGGCAATCTGATGGTAACCAGCCGTGCAGGATGCCTGCCATGCCTTTTCAGCCTCCATGGAGGCTAAAAACAACTGAGTATCTGCCCAGCCCGGAGCTGTTTGTAGAAATAAAGCAGGTACCCTTCTCCCCTAGAGACAGATGTGCTCCTGACTGATAGTGCCTGTGTCACCAGAGGGTGAGCATGCTCACTGCAGTGATGGCGATGTCCACAGGGATCTTTCCCCAGAGGAGCCTCTGCAGCGCTCCTGGATAGCACAGAGAGGGAGGACATCTCTGGAGCTGGAAGAAGACCGCTGCTCCTTGGAGCCAGGCATGCAGATCTGGAAGCAGCCAGGGCTCCTCGTCCCGTGCGTTTTGTGAGGAATTGCAAACTCTGGCTTTCAGGTTTGTCACTGGTCAGAGGAGCTGCTCACCTGCAGGAAGAGCCCAGAGGAGTATATATGAGACACATTCCTTACTGCTATAACAAAAGCTGCAAAAGACAGTTTAAGGAAAAGGGGTCCATTGGGGTTCATAGGTTGAGGCTATGGTCGGTCATGGTGGGGAAGGCATGGATGACAGCAGGAACTTGAGCCAAGAGGAAGCAGAGTGAGATGGATACAGCTGCTCAGCTCACTCTCTCCGTGCAGTCTAGGACCCATGGAACAGGACTGCCCTCAGATTGGGTCCTCCCATCTCAGTTAACCCAAATAGAAACTCCCTTACACACAGACCCAGAGGCATGTCTCCAAGTGGACAGTTACTATCAACCATCAGAGTAAATCAATATACAAGAGCAGCTTGTGGGGCAGCTGAGTGCTGGGTTACACAGTCAAAGTTCCTGCTCTCTCCATCTTTTTGATAGCTCTTATTGGTAGTCCCTGCTCAGATCCCAAGGGCTCCAGTTTAGAATGGATTTGGGAAGTGACAATCTCGTAGCATGATTGGCCAAGGCCTTGCAGAAGGAAGGCATAACATTGCCAACCTCTTCACAGAATTGGACAAGGACCTTCTTCATGTATCAGAAGAGCCAGGCCACAGAAGTAGACCAGGCCCACAGAACCTGGAAACATCTCTCCTTGTCAGTTCCTGTCTCAGCCCTGTCTATGCCAAGCTTCATTCTCATGAAACCCCTCATGATGTAGGGACAGGTCTGTCTGCAATGTTGTCCGACTTTTCCTGGGGAGACAGGAACAAACTTATTCCAAAAGGGGGCACCATATAGGGCACAGGCCAGAGGAAGGGTTCTATCAGAGCTCAACTTGGAAAGCCAGTGAGTTTACTACAGTTAGTTACAGAACCATGAGCAACTGCATCTCTGAGAAGCTCAGGCCCACCTGCGTGTTGACTCAGGAGAGCAGCAACCTAGAGCTTGACCTGCCAGAATGTCTCCTCTCCCAGCCACCCTTACAGTTTATATAACCCGGACACAGAAGACATTTGTGAGTCTTGAAAGTTTCAGGAACTTCCTAAAACTTGTGCATTGTCTACTTCCGGGGTCTCTTTAAGCCTCCCTCCAGGATGGACTGTCTCAGTTTGGATGAGCTTGCCATAGGACATGTACCTACCAAGATGACTGCTTTCTTACTGATACTCCAGGGCTGTCCTGCTTGCTCTCAAGGAAGAAGCAGCTGGGAGTGGAGTACCAAAGGTCTGCAAAGATGTCCAAGTGCAGTTGTACAGCTCATGCACTGCCCAAAAGGCTCCTGTTCCTGGGGGAATAGGGACCGAAATCCATCTTGAATGCAGCGGGGTGTGGTAGGAGCTCAAGGCACTCCAGAGGCTGAAGCAATAGAGTCACAAGTTAGAGGGCAAGCTAGTCTACACAGTGAGAACCTGGAGAGAAAGGGGGTGGAGAGAAGGAGGGAGAGGAGGAGACTGCATGTGCTAGAGGGACTGTATGTACCAGTCTTTGCCCTGCGTTTTCATCCAGGTCCACAGACAAAGGAAGTTACCGGCATGATTCCAGTGTAGTCAAGCTTCCAGGACATGAGCAGGAATGACTCAGGACTATTACCTGGTCCTGAGCTTATGCCTCAGATCCTTAACCAGCCTGTAGCACCAAGGCTTTCTAGGTCTAGAAAGGATAAGAGTTGAAGCTCAGGCCTCAGGAACCTGGAAATAGCATGAACACCATCCAGGAGCTCTGCCTAGTCCCTCAATTTTCAGACGACCTTGGACTCCATGCAGGAGAAAGACTCTTGCCTCCCCAGGACTCAGGCGGGCCTAGTGGTCAAGCCCAGCCACCTATATGTACCGTCGGATAAGCAGCCCAGCTTCTCAGCCCTCAGCCTCTGTAAGTTGGGGATGATCAAAACCCCTCCATAAACCCCGGGAAGACTGAAGTGAGGTGACAGCCACAGAAGCCACTGCTGTATGGCAGCTTTCCAGGCTCACTGGATTCCCACACTGAAGTGAGAGCATCAGTATCCCCATCCTCAAACTGAGAAACATGAGCTTAGAGAGGCCGAGTAACTTAGTTAAAGCCATCATGTGGAGGGGCAGGTCCAATCCAGGCAGCTTCCAGCAAGAACCTGTGTCTGAGCACAGGGAGGGGCCAGCATGGCGATGCTCGCCTGTGATCCCTGTACTCAGGCGACTGGTGAGTGTGAGGCCAAGAAAAGAAAGTCCAGAGCCAAGAACAGCAAAGCAATATGGAGGAATCCTTCCCAGAGTGTGGCTACAGTCAAGAACAGCTCAGGGTCAGGGCCAGCCAGGTCAACACTGGCCGCTGTGCCTGTGGGTCCATTCTTCCTGACCCAGCCTCTGGACTTCAGGGCCCCCCAGGCCTGATGCTTGGCCACAGCCGTGCAGGAGGCAGCTGTACCTTGCAGGTGACATGTGTTTAATTAGTACAAACTTCAGCCAGCTACTATGCGCCTCCTTCCACCTTTTCTGGTCATGGACAGTCCCCCTAAGAGCCGTGGGGGGAAGCTGAGGTCAAGAAACATTCCCTCCCTTGCAAATAAAGTTATGAAGAGCTGAGTGGCTTCCTTTCTGAAGGAGGCCTTCCATAAGTAGTGAACATGTGAGTAGCCTGTGGCCGGCCAGCCAGCCACTTGGGAATCTGGGACTGGTGTGATTATTGGGCCTTGGGCTCCAAGTGCTAAACAAAACTGAGGTGTCAGGGCATGGGGGAACTGCCACCCCATATTCCTGGCCGGCTGCACAACAGACCATTTGTTAAAGGCCTGGACCCCTGTAAGATTCCTGACCCAGTCAAAGGGATAGGTGGGCTCTGTGGTCCAAACCTCCAGGCTGTGTGCCACTTTAGGAAGCTACGCTATCTCATGGTTTAAGAAGTGTCCCATGGTTCCATCACTCAGTGAACAGCCTTCTGTAGGAGGTGGCATTGTTCAGTGACATCTGGGCTCCATCACCTCACACTGTGTGACTTTTGACAAGTGACTGGAGTTCTCTGTGCCTCACTTTTCCAATGCATGAACTGCTGATGAAAATATCTACTGGTTTGTTACAAGATGTAGGTGTAGTGCTGTGGTTTGAAAGAAAATGGCCCCCAAAGGAAGTGGAACTATGAGGAAGTGTGGCTTTGTTGGAGGAAGTGTGGCCTTATTAAAGGAAGTGTGTCACTGTGGGGGTGGGCTTTGAGGTCTCCAAAGTTCAAGCTACGCCCAGTGAGACAGTTCGCTTCCTGCTGCCTACAGATCCAGATGTAGAACTCTCAGCCCCTTCTCCAGCACCATGTCTGCCTGCACACTGCCATATCCTGCCATGATGATAGTGGACTAAACCTCTGAAACTGTAAGCCAGCCCAATTAAATGTTTTCCTTTAAAAAGAGTCATGGTGTCTCTTCTCAGCAATAGAAACCCTAAGACATGTAGTATCCTGTGTTTTTTGCCTAGGTCAATGGCTGATATCGAGTAACTGCTAAGATCGACCAGCGACTCTTGGTACTATGTGGTATATGGTCACTCTCGACAGTGTGGTGACAGGTCTCTCTGCCTCGCTGAACCTTTTGTAGCACTGGGTCTGGGCAGGTACTGCTGATCCCAGAAGAAAAAGGCACTCAGGCTGTGGGATTGGGGAGTTAAGGTCATTGTTTCAGGGGGATGATTCCTCATGCCTTCCCAGAGCACTGTTACTGACAGGTTCTGCATCCTGGGCCCAAGCGAAGCAGAAGTGGGATTGATTCATGATGTCTGCCACAGGCGTGAGTAGGGGAAAAGAGGGCTTAGCCTAGCTTTTCCCAAGTCTGGCCGAGACAAGACGAAGACTACTGATTGATAGGGAAGAAACTCAAGAAGTGAGCAAGGAGATGAGACAGGAAGATAGGAGCCAAGAGAGGGCATCCCCAGAGTGCAAGGGCCCTGCAGGAGCACCAGGAATATGCTCTCTGGAGATCTAGCAGTCTATGTGTGCAATCATATGTGTGTGTTTGGGGTGGGGGTATTTTAACAATAAGTCTCCCTGTGCATGTGGAGACAGTTATCTGGCATTGATATCTCAGCAAACTGTGGTCTGAGCCTGTGCTCACAGTCAGGCATCTGCCCTGGAGCAGAAAGGTGCCTAAGCAAAGAGTGAGGAAGGAAGGTCCAAAGCGAAGAGGAGGTGGCCTGCCTCCCCACCAGCCCCTCCTGCTTCTGGGTGCCTGTTCTCTGTGTGTTTTCCCTTTCCTCCTCTGACATGTTCTGAGGTCCTGGGACTTGCTGCACACAGAGGGAGGACTGGGGAGTCTTGGGCCCAATAGAGCCCACTCTGTCCTTCCAGTCCCCAGACACCCTTGCTTCCCAGGGGCGGCCACATGCCCAGGGCAGCTCATAAATGGTGGCAAGTGACTCCTTTCCTGTGCTTTTCTCTCTAAAAGCAGCACCCAGGGGCCAAGCAGCTGCCAATTAGCTGAGAGTCTTGCTCCAAAGCAGGGGCTGTGCAGAATCAAGACACCTTGGAAAAAGTAAACTTATTAAGTGGAGGAGGATCTTATAGCCTATGAAATTTACAAAAGCCCCACTTCTGGTAACACTAATGACAGGCCGCAGCCTTGATCTTTAATTCACACGCGGAAGCGGGGGCAAATGCTCTCCCTTTGGACAAGGGAGGGAGGCGGAGCTTCTCTTCCTAATAATTTACTTAAATTGAATTTTATATGGGAAATTAATTTCCTAAAATCTAACCAAGAGGTAAGAAGTCACCCTGGATAGCTCTGCCCTGAGTCCATCCACTGTGGTCTCCTGAGGCTGGGGATTCCTGATGATGGGCTGGACCTTGGAGAGGGTATGGAGATGGTAAACCCTGGCTGTTCTTGGAGATTGTATGCTCTTTGGATTTGATGTGTACCATGTGACATTGTTTTGAATCTTGAAACTTTGTGGATAATCTCACAGTTCCCTTGAGCCCATAGGCTACAAAGAGTGTAATTAGGTCCTCAGTTCGAATCCAAGGTCTCTACGGACTGGTTGACTAGCACTGGGTCTCATTTGATCCCTTGTCCTTTTCTGATCTTGTGCAAAGCTGTCAGACTACAGTCCCTTAACGCTGATGGACACATGAACCATCTTGGGGACTGTAGACTGTAGACAAGCTGTTCTGGGCTGCTTGGCATGTGTTCTCATCTGGAAAGGAGGTTGAAAACCTAAGTCTTGCTGAACTAAGGAGGAAAAGTAGAAACATGGGAAGGTGAGTTCAGGGGTGGAGAAGATTTAGCCAACTAAGAAATGATGGCTGAGGGGGGACACTGTTAGAAAGACACATGCTGATGTATGGGGAGCATGTCCTCTCAACCTCAGTATGACAGTGAATGGGTGGTCACCTGGGCTCTTCACAAAGCACAGAGGGAGGGATTTCCCAGTATGACCCCTCCATCTGGGTTCTAGGTATGGGGAGGAAGCCTACACCTCCCCTTCGGGGGTTCTGGTTCTCTTCTGTGTGGGAGAGAGCTGGCTTGGGAGCACAGAGCAGCAATCCAGAGTCTGTAGAGATAGGTGAGTCTTCCCAGCCTTGTTCCCTGTCTTTGGAGGAGGAGGAGGAGGAGAAGGAGGAAGGGAGGGAGGGAAGAAAGGAAGGAGGAAAGAAGGAAAAGAAAAATGAGACAAGGTCTCACCATGTAACCCAGGTTGGCCTTGAACTGATGATACCCCTGCCTCATCTCCATCCTGAGCTCTGTCCCAGCCACTGTGTATCACCACCTCCAGCTGTGTGCCTTGCAATCCTTGGCTCTTTTTGTGTGGATATTTGTCCTTCTAGTAGATGTGATCACTCAGATTTTGTAGGTGAGGAGACTTGGGCATAGAAAACAGGAAGTGATAACCCCAGTGATAAAGTGCAGTGAGCCCAAGATACAGACCAGGGTCTCCTGGCACCACAGGCACCGCCCTTGGTCTGACAGAACTGCACAATGAGTTCTGGGGGCCAGTGGGCTCAATAAAAATGTCATTTCATGGGGCCCTTTCACATATGGTTGTGATCAGTAGGTGGGGGGCATGGGTTGTGTAGTTCCACACACATCCTGGTGACAAGGTACCTGGGAGCAGTGGTACCAGTGCAGAACCTCAGGGTAGAGCCTCTTTGGACCAGGCTAGCTGCTGCCCTCAAGAACAGGGCACCCTGCCAGAGAGATCTCCTGTCTGCCCTGGAGGCAAACTACCCAGAGGGCCCTGAGGGGGCCCACTGAGAGGGCAGCAGTTGAGTTTGCCTGCACACTATAACACCTAGGATGTTTCAGCATCCTTCCCAGAGCCGAGGCTGGTGCTCAGTGGTAGAGCACCTGCCTATCGGGTACAAGACACTGGGTCCCATCCCTAGCACAACCAAGAAATATGTCAGGTCTGGACCCCGCCCTAGAGGTGCTGATTTTGAGTTGCAGCTGAGGCTGAGAACTTCTGAGTCAAGAGGACAGTTTCCACCCAGTGTCAGGAAGTGCTTTCCAGCCGTACTGCTGCCACGACAGGGCAGCCTGCCTGAGGAAGGAGTGAGCTCTCCAACTTGAAGGTATGCAAGCCAGAACCAGCCAACTGTCACTTACTACAGCTGCTCGAGAGGCACTGGCCAGCAAAAACTGGTGGAACCAGATGGTCTCTATCACCTTGTGCTTGGAGAATCTGGGCTGTCGTGAGTGAGTGGAATTTTGTGGGTTGAGGAAGGAAATGAAAAGAACAGGTGCAAGAGAGGCCAGATCCAACAGCCTACCTTCCCCTTCAAAGGCTTGCCCATCAACTGCCAGGCATCAAGCTGAGGACACTTGGGACTGCAGGACTTTTGAGGTCTCTCCCCAAACCTGTGGGCTATGATCACATGATTTTATAGTCAGGAAAGTGACACTACCCCATGACCCATTTTACAGATAGGAAGACTAAGTCCCTAGGATGTTAAAATATTAGCCAAGGTCATTCAAGACCCAAGGGCCAAACATTTCTGTCTTCCTATTCCATGTGGCTATCTTCTACTGAGCAGTGTATACAATCATGTGCACACATACATGCACACACACTCACACACAGAGTCTGCAGTGGAACCCACCTAGCAGTGTACCTGAGAACATCCTGAAGAGTAGGGTATGTCTCTTTGGATCTGCCTTGCTCTCTGCCCTCTTTCCACTACTACTTCCTGTATATCACATTGCCAAGGACTTCGGTTGAACATCCTCTGGGATTCCCCAAGTAGCTCCACCTACAACTCTGGGAGGTTTGCTGCTGCCAGGTCCATCAGCTACAGCTTCTAAGGTGTCTCCACCCAGCTCTGGTCTGCAGAGGACGCAAGTGGAAGCTCCTGAATACACAAAGGCCAGAAGCCCCCCAGTTATTCTCACTGCTGTGGAAGCCATAAGACCCACCACGGGACGAAGAACTGGGGAGGGGTGCAGGCAGACAGGCTGCAAGGCCTAGTCTATGCAGGCTGGGAGTGGGCTCTACTCCCCACCTCTTCCTGGAAGCACGTGCCTTTGAGCTTTGCACAAGCGTCAAGGAAGCTGGAAGGAAGCACGGACAGACAGCATTGCGCAGAAGTGGAAACTGAGGCCGAAGAGGTGGAAAGCAGCCACCTAGCGGTCTGGTAGAGGTGGGAATCAAACCCACGAGGAGGAAGTGTTTCCAAAAGTCAGCAGTCCCCCTAGGTGGATTTGCACACACACTGTGGGTCACTCAATCCTTCTGCTAAGGAACTCTGTGGCCCCAGGCTGACTCCCCTGAGAAACTGAAATTCCCAGGTGGGCTGCAGAGCCCAGCAGTGAGCTCAGAGCTCCGGTTCAGCCCAACTTCCAAATGGCTAGCCCACAACGGGCTCCCAGCAGCCGCCAGCTCACTCTCCCCCTCACCTCTCACTTTCTGTTCCTGCAGATAGAGTGAGAGCATCCATCCCTCAGCCCCTTCCCTAGCCATCCCTCTGTCGATGGCACCTTCTCATCTGATGGATTTACAAGGCAAACCATGGCCCCAGTTTCTCTGTGCCTTCCCGTGTGCTGCCCAGTGCAGATGTCTTAATATGCCAGCTGAGACTTCTTAAATCCACATTGAAACAACTGTTGGGTTTTTATACCGTTGTAAAACTCTTTGTAGGGTATTCATAGAAAATGTTTTATTAATTGCCATATGTTTATTGATTTCTCTTTCATGTCGGTTCTTTTGTTCTTTCTTTGTAGTGGCAAAAGATCGCTCGCATCATCATTTGCAAGTTATCTAAAATGTCAAAGGTGTCCTTTTGAAGTTTATTACAGATCACATGCCATAAGGCCCGGACGCTAGGTATTTACAGTGAGGGGGGAATTCCCGCACGGACTTTCAAAGCCCACAAAAGAATTGAGATCATATTGGCTTAAAACAAGACACACACACAAAAGCACAATTTATCATTTTTTACATTTTTCCCGTAGGGGTTTGATATTGCAAAGACATTTTCCTGAGGAGAAGTGAGCAAACATACCAGCCTATTTACCCATCCTGCAATGGCACTGGAGCCCAGGTTATGGCCTCTCACCGCCCCCCCATCTTTCACCCAGAACTTGCCAACCTGCAGGAGGTTCCTTGGAACCAAAGCAAAGGGCGACTATGGTGCCTACGGCTCTGAGATGGTAAGTGCCCCTCCCCAGGTCACAGAGACTGTACTATTGACCAGTGCAGGGGGGAGAGACACAGAGCACCCCTGGGAGAAATATCTGTTCCATGAGGCAGAAGACCAGAGGACCTGATTTCTGCCCCCTAGGACCCAGGATAGGGGAGAATTTGGAGAGGGCTAGTAAAAGGGTTTTTAAAAAATGTTAATAGTGCAATCCCCTAAGTTTTAAATGTGCTCTGATGTTTAAGTCAGCACAACATTTTCTTTTGAAAACTCAAAAGTAATTTTTTTTAAAGCCTTCCCAGGAAAACCTCACACTTTGATGTAGAGGCATTCAAATGAGATCCACCGGCACAGGCATGAGGAAATACTTCCCACCCCCTGCCAGAGAAGGAGGGATCCAGCTAGCTGGCACAGGCACAGCCCCTCCTCCCAGCCCAAGAGCAGCCTGATGATGCCTCTAGGGGCCTTGACTGCCCCATCTGTTAAATGGCACGATGACCTCCATATGACCTTGGCCTCCCCGGTGATCAGGAAGGGAAGAGTTACCCATCTGAGCTCCTGCCTCCTCAGGGGCTGCCAGGGCCTCTCTGGGTACCAGCCTCACTGCTTGCTAGGAAACCAGGATGTGCATTGTCAAGAAGGAGCCCCATCGGCTGGGCCTCGCCTCTGAGTCAAAGTATGAAGGGATAGGGCCTAGGCCGGCTGCTGCACAGGAAATGGCAGATGAAAAAGGCTAGCTTCTAGATGACAGAGTGTGCCCATGGCCGTGGAAGCCCTTCACAGCCTCCTTCCCTCACTGTAGGCAGGCTCCTGGGCTCTGCCTCTTGACCATTCCTGACCCTGTACTGCTTCCTGGCAGTTCTGTTCCCTCCCCCCCACCCCCGCCACCCTGCAGTCCCTCACATCTCTTCTTCCAAGCACCCACAAAACCGGGGGTGGGGTGGGATGGGGGGGTGAGATGATTGACAAGCAGAGGAGCCTCTCCAAGTGGCCCCTGCCCACTCTACTGCACACAAGCTCCTCCTCCCTTCCCTGAAGCCAAGCAGGCTGGAGGCTGAGAGGGAAGAGCAGGCCATGCTTACTCAGTACCTCTGTCCCTGCTCAGAACCAGACTCTGGGCTGGGACTGATGTCCAGACATTTCCCTGGCTCCTGCAAGCTCCAGGCTGAAGAAGAAGGAGACTAAAAAGGTTAATGGAGACCTGGAAGGGAAGACCCCACCAAAAAAGAGGGTGCAGTCTATATAGAGGCGGCAGGCAGCATTGGGGTAAGCATCCCTGATCAGAACCCTCGAGCCAGGCTTCAGGTGCACAGGACTCTGCCAAGGGGGTGCTGGTAGAAGGACTCTCCTACAAAGACCAAAGCCAAAAGAAAGATAGGATCCCCTAGTGGCTTGACACCTAGGAGCAGAGAGGCTGAGGAGCTGCACACCCAGGCTGTGGAAGCAATAACCAGGAAGCGGGCTGGGTCCTGCCTGGTCTCAGGCCAGGCACAAGTCCCATTTCTCTTACATTTTATAAAAAAGCTCTTCTCACTGTCTGACCATCTGTGGTCACTCTAGGAAGCTTACGTCTGAGGGCACCCCAAGGTCCCCAGTACCCCTGGAGCCTCTCAGGACGTTTGGTAGCAGGTGGAGTTAACTCTAGCGAGGCCCGCCTTCTGGGCTGTGACTCATGGTGGAGCTCTACCTTAAGAGGATGCTGCTTGCCTTCTTCATTGGTCCCTTAGCTACAAAGTGGCTTAACAGAGAGCCAGTAGATCCCAAGAGTCCTCCAGAAGATCCAGCTGTCCAGTTTGGGGTTCAGGGCTTCCTTCCCCTCATTTCTGGCCTTCCCTACCATTCTACCTATCACTGTCCTCTAGGGAGACAGTCCTGTCTATTGGTTCACACAAAAGAGCCAAGTTCAACTCTAGCACGTTCTAGCTACGCGACCCTGGACAGGTCACTTACTAGTGAGAACATGCTCTGCCGGCATGGGGCCTCTACTCTCACAACTACAGAAAGTGATGGAGGGAATCCTGAGGAAGGTGCTCAGCACAGCACCGTGGACCCGGGATCCTCTCACACCCCGGATGCTCCTGCTTTCTCATCTGGAACACGGGCAGATGATAATGACAGCCTCGATGACCAGCAAGGCACTGAAAAGTCCACCCCAGGTGCCGCGTCTACCGCCAGATAGTCCCCTAAGCCTGCTAAGCCAGACGCCACAGCATTGAAAGTGCTCCATGATGCCAGAGAATAGTGGTGTGTTACTGCCTCACGCCTCACCCCGTACTACTCCAAAGCACTTGGAGTCACATGACAGCTCTGGATTTTCTCTCCTGCCCTGGGTGTGGCCGGTGGGCAGTGCAGGGGTCCTGAGAGGAGCGGAAGATTTCCCAGGGCCTGTCAGCGTCCCCACCTTTCTGGAGCCTGAACATCACTGCTGTGGCACAGTGTGTAGCCATCAGCGGTCCTGCACAGAAGTGCGGTGGGTCCTGGGCTTCTGAGAGGAGCTTTGAAGCAGGCTCTGGGGCAGGATGCTGGACTACCCTGCGCACTTTTGACTGTCAGAACATGATACAGGAAACATCAGTGGGTAAAAACAAAGGTCAGCCAGCATTTCCTGGAAAGCCCAAATAATAAATATTTGGGGCTTGGTGGGTCATGTCAGTCTCTACGTCAACATTCAAGGGCTCCACTATGGTCTCCAAAGCAGCCATAGACAACACATAAATGAATGGATGGGATTGTTTCAATAAAACTTTGTTTGAAAGCAGGTAGCAATTTGACCCCCCTGGTGGTAGTCTGGCAGCCCTTGATACAACAAAACAAGCCTAAATCTACAGGAAAAAGCTGGGTCTAGTCTCAATCTGCAAGTCTACTCCCTTTAGGCCTCAGTTTCCCCCACAGTAGAATCAGAGCATTGTACTAGACCATTATCTCAATCCAAAATTCCCATAAGAATAGGCAAGAGGTCAAGGTGTGAGACATCATCTTTGGAGGGCCTTGGACAGACTGGGGCTCCCCTTGCTCACCACGTGCAGCCAGACCTCATTCCTGGTGGATGCTTGCCACATCACAGGGAAAAGTGACCCAAGGTGGCCTGGCTCTGTGGAAAACCCAGACAGGCTGAGTCCTATGGGAAGTGCTGGCACTTTTAAAGCCTTTCTTGAAATAGAACACACTTGCAAAAAAAATAAATAAATAAAGTGCACACATCTTAATGATCCAGCTCAGGGAATTTTCTCCTCTGAACACACCCCTGTAACTGACACCCAAATCAAAGCCGCCCTGTTCTAGTAACCAACCCCAAGGGAACCATTTTAACTGGCTTTGTTCCTGTGTTTAATGCTGCACCTCTCAGCTCTGAGTACATCAGTGGGCAAGTTTGCCGTCCCTGGCTGTGGGCCTCCCCAGCAAACAGTGATTGGTGAATGGTTCCTCCTGGTCCTTCAGGGTACAGGAGCCCCCAGTGCAGAGTCAAGGTCTGCAAAGGGGAGGGTGTGTGGGAACTGGAATGGGAGGGGTGGGGCTTTCTGGTCCCCTAAAGGCCTGTGCAATAAGCAATCAGAGTGACAATTCGGCCCAAGGGGTGTCCTAAGTGCCTTCGGAGGCCAGCAAGAGGAGGCCAGGCTGGGCAGGCACACTCGCCTGGCTTATTAAAACGACTTTGATCCCCGACCGCTTTGATATCCCGGGTCTTATAAAGAATTCACTTTCAGGGGTAAATATAGGTAGTTCAGAGAGATTTTATGACATACTGTACCGGCTCTTCTTCTTTAATTACTGGGGTGGGGAGGGCTGGGGGCAGCAAAGTGCTGACAAAGAGGGGCTGGGCTTCTGGCCTCTACTGCCCATGGGGGCAGGCTGGGCACTGTGCTCTCTGAGTGAGGATCTCTTGACAGGCCCACAGCTAACCTGCCTCCTCTCACCTGCCACAGGAAAGCTCACCTGGAGGGAGCTTCGCTTGCCTAGGGAAGCAGGAAGATATCTGAACAGGAGATAGGTGGGAAGCGGGCCAGCAGCAGGATGACCTGTGACCAGGCCTTCTTCCAGCTAGTTTGGATTGGAACACAGGGTAAGGGTACCTCGATCCAACCGAGCAGGAAAGCAGCTCGCTGTGTTCCTCTAGAGGGACCCTAGACTTCATGCCATCTCTTCCATACAGGGGGCAATCTGCTGTGCTGGGCCCAACCCTCTCTACTGTGGGTTTCTCCCTCCTCTGTCCCCACGGCACCTCGACCCACAATAGTCCCTTAAGGCAGACTTGGGGACCAGCAGAGCCCACAGGAAGAGCTGCCTCAGGTAGTCAGATGGCAAATATGAGGTATGAAGGGCATGTCATGTTTGACCAAGGGCTAAAGAGGTCAGTGAGGGAAATCTAGCCCCATCCCAGAAAAGTGACCTGACCTGGGCTTCTCGGACCTAACGCAAGCGGCTACCAATGCACAGATACAGGCAATGCTGCTCTGCTACCCACGGTAAACTGAGACCTTGATGGTCCTGAAGCTGTGCTCTCCAGCCTGGCGTGGAAGACAAACTGCTCGTCTGTGCTGTTCACAGGGAGCTCCATTCCGAAGAGCTCCTGCCTCTCCACAGACTCTCAGGGTCAGGCTTCTCCAGAGACATCATGTGCAAAGCACTTAGCATATAGGCAGAGTTTTGCAAGGGCTCGAACCCCTCCACACACACACAGTGGGAACAGCTATTCTGTTGGCTCGCCTCTCAGGACAGACACTGGGCTATCAGAGTCTGTCATACAAGTTTCTTTTCGCTGAGAACCACTCTTGCATATACGAACCCATAACATCTCACAAGAAATCACTCTGATGATGCGCTATCTTATGGATCAGAAACCTGAGAAATCTCAGAAAACTGCGACTCCCGTGACGAGTTCCAGTGATGGTCAGTGGCTAACCAGGGTGGGAAGTCAAAAGAGCCTAATTTCAAACCCATGTGGATGCCTACCACACCCATCTCTCTACTTACGATTTTTAATCTCGTCAGTTTGACTGGGTTTGGGATCACCATGAAACACCTCTTGGGTTTCCAAGGAGGTGTTTCCAGACAGGTTTGTCTGAGCAGAGAAGACCCACTCTGAATGTGGGTGGCACCATCCCGTGGGCTGGGGGCCCAGACTGAATACAATAAAAAGCCAAGCTGAGCACCATCATCTACCCTCTCTACTTCCTAATGAGACACACTGTGACCAGCGGCCTCACTCTCCTGCCACAGGCCTTTCCCACCACGATGGACCGCAATCCCTATGAACCGTGATCTGGAATAGACCTCCCTTCCTTAAGTTGTTTGGTCACAGCAGCGAGAAAGCTGATTCATTCCCATCTGCTTTGTCCACAAGCACAGTGCCCCCCCAGCTCACGTGCACTTTGTGGGTGCCACCGTGTGTGCCCTTTATTACCTTATAGGGGTTGTTATTTTGTGTTCATACCCATCAGCTACAAATTCCCAGCTGACAAGAATAATATCCCTGTTCCCTAGAGGCAGGCTCAGGAACCAATAGACAGCAGGTGCTCTCTAAATACCTGTTAGATGAGTGACTATAGGATGTAGACATTCAGGGCACAGATATACCAAAAATTACTGGAAGGTCAGTGATTTGATTACTTCCCCCACTAAGCTGGCTGCATAAGCGCCCCCTGTCTTCGGCTGTATCTACACAGTAGCTATCACAAGGGAAACAAGGATTAATGGTGGTTTAAGTCTAGAAAGTTCCTCCTTTTTCTATCATGATCTTCCATGTAAGATCCCCGCCTATCATCACGGAAGGATTTGATGATGAGACCTTGGCATAGAAATGACTTCAGGACAGAGGTCGGAGCCACACACAGCTCATCCCCAGTGACTTCGCCAAGACCTTGCACACTGACGCTCGCAGATGTTTGCTGAGTGAATAGACCAATATGGGATGTTGCAAGCAAGCAGTCAGGATATCTGTCCCCAAGCCCCTTTACCCCAACCACACATACACATGTATATACACATGTTCGTGTACACACACACACACACACACACACACACACACACACACACACACACACTCCTATAATGCCAGAGGCCACTTGGCTCAGCAAGGGCCTGATAAAGGGGTGAGGGACCCAGCAGCAACCAAGCTGGGGGCAGGATCCCGGTGTGTAGTTCTCTTTTCCCTCTCCTCTTGGCTCCTCTCCTTGCCCTAGAGCCAAGACAGGATTGGATATTGTTTCCCAGCCTAAATAGATAATTGCCCTTCTGGCTGGATAAAAGATGTCTCGCAGAGCTGAGTGAAATATCATTAATAAAGGAGACTGATTCTTCAGGAGTGCCTCCCGAAGTGAGATTAATAAGCTGTCCCCTGGCGTTCGATGGAATCTTCAGCCTGCTCCTCACTGTGTGACTTATTTTTGCAGCCGCTGCTCTATTCCGCCACTTGTCATTCCAGGAGGGCCAGCAGTTGATCTAGGCTAATGGGTCTGACACACAAACAAGACAACTTTTCCTCGCCTTTGACAAGGGAGAAACCCAGGGAGAGGAAAGTAATCAACTGTGTTGCTTTTTAAGGAAATAAGCTACCACTTTACCAAAGGATTAGAGTGACATTCCATGTGTGGATAAGATGAAGAGCTGTGGGGATGTGTGTGAGTGTGGTGTGGAACTATGGTGGTGTTTTCACTTAAGGAGCAAGGCTGGGGCACTATCATTCACATGGGCAGGATCCCGGGGAAGAAACGTGCTTCTGTGTGGTGGGATTCTGTGTGCTGATGAACAGGGATGGGATATGGCCATGTGTGAACAGGTTACAGAATTCAGGAGTATAAATGGGTAGTCTGAACTTCTGTGTTTAGATTTGCATGGGCCATTGCCCTCTAGTCAAAGTTCCACTCTCCACAAAATTTGGTGACCTAAAGTTAACTGAATTTTGAAAACATTAGGTTGTAATGTTCCAGAAATAAATAATTCATAAGTTAATTCAATTTTTAAATTTGCAGTATTACTACTATGATTATTATTAATTATTATATGTGTGCATTATCTAATATGTGTGATTATGGGCACCAGTGCCACGGTGCCCTCGTGGAAGTCAGAGGACAGCTTGCTGGAGTCAGAGTCTTCCTTCCACTGTGGATTCCCTGGACTGAACTGGTCGTCAGGCATGTGCGGCAAGGGCCTCGACCCTCCAACATCTCACTGGCCCACAAGTCATAAGTTTTAAAAAGCTTTTATTATAGTTGCTGTTATACTTGTCCTGTTGTTATTTTCTCATGGTGTCTAATTGACAGATTATACTTTTTAGCAGGCTTAGGTATACAGTAACGCATGTGTGGTTCTGGGCTATCCATCCATAGTTTCAGGCACTCAGTGGGAGTCTTGAAAATGGCGGATGACTGTGTGCACACGGCTATCTATGCCTGTATGTGACACATGTATCTGGGTACAATGAGAATGATCTTGGCACTTTTGCCCCAATTAGAGACTCTAACTGGTGGATGGCCATTGTCGTCCAATCTGACAAAATATAACCAGCAGACTTTAATCCATTTTATGCCTCTTGGTTGCCTGGCATTTCCTCCTTTCTCCATGGCTTGTACTGAGTTTCTGAAGAGCACAACCAAGGCAGGAGTGGCCAGGCATGCCATTGGCTGAGGGCAGGACTGTCTTCCCAGCACTTCAGCACTGGGTACTCCCCGAAGAAAGCAGGAGCCTTTGCAGCCGCCTCTTCCAGCCGCTGGGGGTGGACGCCTGGTCAAGGGGACCCAAGGGCAGCGTCAGGGCTGCTGAGTCACCTGCCCAGTAAGAACAGGAGCTACACAGGAAGACATCCTAGAAACATGATTTGCTGCTGCTGCTGCTGCTGCTGCTGCTGCTGCTGCTGCTATCATCATTCTCCTTCTCCTCCTCCTCTCCCTCCTCCTCCTCTTCCTCCTCCCCTTCCTCTTCCTTCTTCCTCCTCCTTCTCTTCCTCCTCCTCTTCTCCTCCTCCTCCTTCTCTTTAAGTTAAGAGGAACAAGGATCCAGAGAAGATTCATGAGGTAAAGAGGGACTGATATGTTTGTGGGGTTTCAAGATACAGCTGTACTTAAGGACATGGTCCTTGAGGAAATTCCACGAATAGACCAAAGGTTGTTGATAATCAGGGATGGGGACAGCCCAGAGTTCATGAGTCCACTTTGAACTCAATGAAGAGGACCCTCACTTTGCTAGACTCTTGCCTGGTCCCTGACTCCTCCACTCTGCTTAAGCAGATGTGTGTCATCATTCCTGGCATGGAGGTCCTCCTGGCTACTGTCAATGGCAGCATTCAGCCACACTCAGGCTCCTGTCCTCAGCCACAGAAATTCCCAATCCAGAAGGGAGGTGAATAGCTAGCTGAGAGCATATTTATAAACCCACCTCCCTGTCCCCAAAGCTGGCAGAGAGACAGTGGCTTGTGGGTGAGCCCTGAGATTCACACCACAGAGCCCAGGCTTGTCTGGGATGCAGACAGGCCTCCGGGATGGGTCCATCCCAGGAAGGAACTGGGCAGCTTGGGTTGCACCCTCAGCCCCTCCCTGTGCCATGGTCCAGTGGTTGCAGTGGCATTTCTGGTTGTGCCTCATGAAACCTGAGTGCTGAATCCTGAATGATGGCAGTGCTTAGGCTGATCCACTTGGTGACTTGGAGGAATGTGGAATGGGGCGACTCTGGCCTGTCTGCCAACAGCAGCTCTGAGAATGCAGCGTTTGTCAATGGAATTAGGGGTGGTTGCCATGTGAACAAATTGAAGTGAGCAGGCTATGGTTTTGTAAAACAAACTCCTCTCGGTTTAAGCTGTCTGGCAGTGGCCTGCACTGCAGACACTCAGACCTGACACACATGTTTGCACACACACACATGCTTATACTCACTCTTACGTCACACACACCAGGACCACATGCATCTGCAGCCACTCCGGCGCAGGCATGAACGGCTCCAAACTTGAGCTGAGGATGAATCACAGATAGGAGAACACTTGTCTGGCATGCATGAAGCCCTGGGGTTGATCCCCAGCACCACATACAACTGGGCATGGTAGTGCATGCCTGTAATAAGTAGTCCAGAGGGGGAAGCAGGAGAAGCAGTTCAAAACCACCCTCGGCTACATACCAAGTGGGAGGCCAGAATGGGAAACAGGAGAATCTGACTGAAAAAAGAAGTCGGGGTGGAGAATGAGCTTGGAGTCTGGCTGGATTCACATTCCAGACTCTACTGCTTAATAATGAGCTTGGACAATTAATTCAACCTAGTAAGTAAGCACTGTACATACCTAACTCCAGTACTTAGCTATCATGGTACTCAATGATGTGAGGATTAAGAGAGCTCTGTGCAGATGCCTAGAAGAGTCCCTGGTTTGTGTAAGGGAGTCTGCCTTGGGACTGCATAGCAAGTGGCCTCATCCACCCCTGAAGGATGGTGAGCTCCTCCCACAGGCCCTAGGCCTTTCTCAAAAACAACACTGAGTTTCCCCTTTCTTGTGGCAGTCAAACGTTTTGTTTTGTTTCAACAGTAAGTTTAAGCTAAAATGGAGTTGATTGAATAAGAAAAATGTGATAAGAAATACATGTAAATGAGGCCTCCTTCTGCCCTATAGCCTGAGTGTCCAGTAAAGAATGCCAGTATTTTCTTCCAACACTTCATGGCCTTTATTGCCTCAAGGTAAAAGATGGCATCAGAGCCCCCTGGATCAGCTCTGCACTGCTGAGGCCTGCTCAAGCCTGAGGACCTCCAGACTTGCACTGAAAACTCCCCCTTAGCTAAAGACCAGAATGCCAGCTGAGGGCTTCGGGGAGCCCTGCACAAACAACTTTGCGCCCACTCACATCAACCCTCTCCCCGACTTCTGCTTTGCCTACATTTGAGGAGAAGACAAGCTTGGGAGACCAGGTGATCTGCCCAACAGACCTGTGTGGCCTGACTCAAAGCCACCAAGCCACAGAACTGCTCTGCAGTGCCACCTGTGGGCCTAGCAGTCACCTGGCACCAGTAGGTGACGTTGTCCCACTGTGCAGCCAGCCTTATCCCAAATGACACTGAGTTTTCCCTTTCTCGTAGCAAAACAACAACAACAACAACAACAAATGTTCTTTTCAGTACTAAGTCTAAGTTAAAATTGAGCTGACTGAATAAAAATGTGATAAGAAACAGTGAGAGTGTCTGTGGCAGGGTAAGTCTTCCGAGGGCATGTTCAGGGGGACTGAGTCTCTGGACCTGGGTACTCTGTCCTCCAGCCTCTCTGCAGGAACCTGGCACTGGGGTCCTATCACTCTGGCAGACCAGAAGGCTCTGTTCTTTACCCTCTTATGGGGCCTGCTACATACAAAGCCAGGCCCACTTGGCACCCTGAGCTTGGATTCTAGATATTCTGGGAGCCTGCCCTGCTGGGCAAGGTCATTTAAAGAGCTCAGACAGAGACAGGCCATCGTGGGAGCTTCCTGAAGTGATACTGCAAAGATGAAAAGAGACAATGATGAACGGACAGACACTTGCACACAGGACACACATCCACGAGCGCACACTGATACCTATAAACATTCACACCAGCTCTAACGAGCTCCCATGAGTGCATGCCCACAGAACAGCCTCCTCGATGCATGCCCTACTGTAAAACAAGTGTGGCTAAAACACCGCTTTCCTTGTAACCTGCCCCTGTCCCAAGGCAAGCTCCTTCCTCCCAGAATGGAATCTGCTCAGATTCTGACAGAAGAGGTGTTGGCTCCATCCGGCCTAATTACAGGGGCCGCTCAGGGCTGTGCCAGGCTGTGGCCTCTCCAGACCCCTGTCCATCGCTTTCCTGTGTGCAGGAGATGCTGGTAGCCAAGCCATTTCCCGCTCGTGGTGTCCATTAGGTCTCAATTACCTCGCAGGGCCACGGCCTTTGAAGTGGCCACAGAGCCTCCGGGAGGCTCTTTTTCTCTCACCTGTCACCACTTATTTTCTTGGGCTCCTGGCCTGTGGCCGGGCATTTTTAACTAATGGGGATTCAATAACCCAGCTGCACAGCAAATGCCCGCTCGGGCCCTTGGGTCCACAGTGTCATTAAGACTTCAACCGGCACTGGCATGTACTCCCTGCAGAAGGGTTACACACAGGCCGGGCAGCACATTCTGGACTTTTTTATTGCCCCTCCTTATAGCCATTATCCACAAACACAACCGCTAATGACAGACTGAGGAACTTGGGAAAGGAAAGGTTTCATTTGGCCTGGCAAAGGAAGCCGTCGTCTGCCCTGAAATAGAAGTACCAGATCTGGGGCCCCCTCTCCCCCGGCACCCCTTGTGCCAGGCCTGGGAGGGGTGGGAAAGAGACCTGGGGCTCTGGAGTTCTCAGAAGAAAGGTATACACTGCCTCCTTGGGTTAGGATGTCTCCTGCATATAGGAGGCTGGGAAGTTGGCCTGGGGGAGGGGTAACCATAGGATTTGTCATGCAAGAGGGGAAGAGGGTCCTCTAAGCCATCTCCTAGGACACAGGCACAAGGTAGGGGGCAGCCTGGGCCAGGAGGACAGTGTGATAGATGCGTTTCCAATGCAAAACCCAAGAGGTGCCAAAATACTAAAATCAAAATGTCTACTTTTTTAAAATTTTATTTTATTGATGTTGTGCTGTATGTCTGTCTCTGTGGGGGTGTTGGATCCCTTGGAATTGGAGTTACAGACAGTTGTGAGCTGCCATGTGGGTGCTGGGAATTGAACCCAGGTCCTCAGGAAGAGCTGCCAGTAACTGCTGAGCCATCTCTCCAGCCCCAATGTCTATGTTTTTAATGTCATTTTTTTCAACAGTTTCATACATGCACACAATGTATTGTGGTCATATTCAATTGACTTCTTTTGTCCTCTTTCCATACTCTTCTAGGATTTAAATTCACTGGAATTTTTTTCATTTTAAGTCCTATAAATGTCTTATTTTCACTGGCATGTATTCATTTTAGAAAGTGAAAAGTTTCACATATTCTGTACGTGTGTGAACATGTCGTAACGAAACCTTCTTCACCACTGAATAATGCTCCATTATGCGACTGCACTGACGTTTTCTTATCACACATTGAGGGCATCTAGGCTGGGTCTCTAACTTGGTGACTGTGGAGAGCATTGCAATAAACATGGGAATCCATGACAGAGGCCAGAAAGACAGCTGAGCAGTTTGAAGTCCCTTGCTATGAGAGCTTAATGGCCTGGGTATGATCCCTGGGACTCACTTCAAAGTGGAACAAGAAAACTGACTCCACAAAGTGGTCCTTTAACCCCACACATGCACAGGGCATGCACACCCTTGCACATCATACACACACATCAATAATAATAGGGCTGGAGGGATGACTCAGCAGTTAAGAGCACTGGCTGCTCTTCCAGAGGCCCTGAGTTCAAATCCTAGCACCCACATGGTGGTTCACAGTATCTGTAACTGTAGTCCCATGGGATCCAATTCCCTCTTCTGATGTGCTGATGTACATGCAGACAAAACACCCATATACATAAAATACATAAATAATAATAACAGCAACAACAATAATAATAAATTTTTCTTTTAAAAAATAACTCATGAAAAATAATATCAAATTTTAAATGAAAGAAAATACAATAAGGCCACAATTAGGAGAAGAAAGAAAGGGTGCTTCTCTGAACAATAAAGTCCCAGTCTGTCTTTAAAATCATCAGCACCATGTTCATCATGGATATTTTGTATTCATCCTATTTTTTAAAATAACGTACTCAAATACTAGTTTTCTTATTATAGATTGTCCCAAGGCCCCCATGAGTCTTCTAATACAAGGCTACTGCCTCACCTTAGTCCTGGACTTGCCAGCTGCATATGGAAATGTAAAGCCATCTCTGGCTCCAGCTCTGCCCCTCTCCCTCCAGCCTTCTGTGCCCAGAGAGAGAGAGAAATGTCTCCATGTCCACCTCTTTCACTCTCTCTCCTGAGCCTGCCCCAGGGCTTCCCTTAATCCCCCAAATATTCTATCCTTTACCCTATATGAGGACACTCCCACCTGTGTCCAGTGAGATGAGCCCTGTGTGAAGGGCATCTCAGACCCTAGTTCAGTCAGTCAGCTCAGCATCCTGGGGTCCATAGCTCACAGATGGAGAGCCTGAGAGGCAGTGAGCAGTTCACGCAGTTCACGCAGTTCACGCAGTTCACTCACTGGAGGCTTGGACTGACTCCATCATGGAGTGATTGTAGGGCTTCACACTGACTCCATCCTGGAGTGATTGCAGGGGTTCACACTGACTCCATCCTGGAGTGATTGTAGGGGTTCACACTGACTCCATCCTGTAGTGATTGCAGGGCTTCACACTGACTCCATCCTGGAGTGATTGCAGGAGTTCACACTGACTCCATCCTGGAGTGATTGCAGGGGTTTACACTGACTCCATCCTGGAGTGATTGCAGGGGTTCACACTGACTCCATCCTGGAGTGATTGTAGGTGTTCACACTGACTCCATCCTGGAGTGATTGTAGGTGTTCACACTGACTCCATCCTGGAGTGATTGTAGGGGTTCACACTGACTCCATCCTGGAGTGATTGCAGGGCTTCACACTGACTCCATCCTGGAGTGATTGTAGGTGTTCACACTGACTCCATCCTGGAGTGATTGCAGGGGTTCACACTGACTCCATCCTGGAGTGATTGTAGGGGTTCACACTGACTCCATCATCAAAGAGCTACCACCGGGACAAGCAATGACACTTGCACGTAGTATCTGCAAGGACTCAGAATAACATCAGGCCAGAGCGAGTAGTGGTGTGGACTTACACCATCGCAGAGTGACTGCAGGGCAGGAATGAGGTGGTGTGGGCCGTGTGCTCAGCTCCTGGGTGGGTCCATGAGATGACTTGATTTTTAGCACTGAAAATCCTACCTCCCTGGAAATTCTTCAATCCATAGCAAACTATAGTGTGCCTCTGTAAAGGGGCATATTCAATAAATACTCCTAATATTAAGTTCACAGGGCAGAGACCTCTGTGTTGAAACAGAGTTCCATCTCTCTTTTTCTTAAGAAGCCACTGATGTCATCATTGGGACCTCACTCTGTGACTTCATCAAGTCCTAATTATGTCCTTAAGGCCACAACTTCAAGCGTTATTATCACATGAATTTGAGAGTTATGTGTCTAATACTAGAGCTGTTAGGGAGCCCATTCAAATCATGGCACATTTTAAAATACCAGTGATGGAGAGAAGGGAGCTCAAAGCAGGCCTAGAGGATGGCCTTTAGAGGAGGCCGGGTATCCCCCCATTTTCCCTTACTAGGAAGAGATTCCACACATCTTTTGGATCTGTGAAACCATGTGTGAAGGAAAGATCATGGGTGACAACCAGACTTTCTGGGTTTCAGTTTTCAAATACCCTCAGTTTCCCTATCTGTCAAATGGCTAGCCTCTCTGCTCCCCACCTCCACCACAAACTCCTAGGGTTACCATGAGGCTAAAATGCAACTAGAAACAGCAGGACATTTGCAGAGCTGATCATGCTTCTGCAGATGGTAGAGACAGCTGTGGAAGGCTGAAGCATAGGGCTGGCTCTGGGGTTGGCACTAGGGCTGGTTAAGAGTCCAGGCTAGGATGCTGAGCACTCTAAAGCACAAAATTGCCTCTTGCAACCTGATTAATGATAAAAAACACACGCACAAGGACAGCCTGGGCTACAGAATGAGTTCAAGGCCAGCCTGTGCCACTTAGAAATACTCTGTCCCAAAGTAAAAGTTAAAATGGGCTAAGGATAGATAGTAGAGCACTTATCTAGCAGGCCCAGTGACCTCTATTCTATCTCCAGGACTGCAAAAAAAATTCTTAAATTCATTATTTGGCTATGAAAGTAGTCACTAGTGAGATGTAACTCCTTTTCGGCAAAGCCGAGTCAGCTCTTGGCAGGGCTGACTATCTTGAAGATAATAGCTCTAAACTATTTTTCTAAAGAAAAAAAAAATACTAGCGCAAAAAAAGCCCCACCACTTTGATCACAAGGGACTAGAGAGTGAACCAGCCGGGCAGATCTTGGCAAGTTGACCTTTGAGAGGAAGGAGCAGCTAAGTGAGTTACAATAGCGGTGGCTTTCAGCTAGCCAGAGGCTCACAGCACATGAGATATGGTTAAACACCAATAGAAAATGCAGAGTCTGGATGGGAGAGTCTGGATGGAAGAAACTGAA